AAAGAGTGACTTCGTAACATTTGTGGTGACATCATAATCTTTTGTTTGCTAATGTATCATGGATTTGGACTCATCTCAATGCTGTGTAGCCTCAGAGTTGAGTCAATACAACATTTTTTTCCTTAAAACAAAATGAAGAATTTGACTTGCCCAGTTTAAGGCAACTGTTTATCTGGTGTGTTTTCCAAATTGGCCTGAAATCAGATACTCTTTATTTTAAAAATTATTTTACTTGCATGAGGTCTGTGCCATTAATTAAACTGTATTTCCATCTCATTTAGTTCTTCTTGTCTTAGGTGATTATTTTTACCACATCCAAGGTGGTGAAGGCAATATTAGAAAATAAAAACAAAATAGAAGTCTACTTAGCCTTGGTGTGTCACAGTCTAGGCCAGACAATCTGCCTGCGATTGCTAGGATGAAGCTTGTATTTTGCCCATCAGAATAAAATGCAGCAACATAACATGTTTTCTGCTTTCAGAAACAAAAAGGCAGATTATTTTCAGCAGGTAGGCAGAAAGACACCATAAAAATCTGGCATCAGCAGACACTCTCAGTTGGTGTGTAGAAAACCCAGCTTTTATAGACATTAATTTTTTTTTTCTGCTGGCTCTCGAGTGGTTCCTGTAGTGTTTGGCAGAGTTAGGTCCTGCCTGTCCTATTTTCACAACTCAGCTTTCCCAGAAAATGGAGCTTTGCCCAGTAGCCAGATGAAGGTGCAGTTATATTTTACTACCAGGTAGATGGGGAAACTGCAGGTACCTCCTGTTTGCTGAGAAGGAAGCAGCAACATTGTCCTAGCTTCCAGCCTTACAGGAATATGGGCTGGAAATTTACCAGATGCAAAACTCAGCAATGAAATAAGATGGTGGGTTTTGTTATTAGTGGATGGCTTTGAGACATCAATCCATAGGTGCTGAGCATTTCCTGTAATGTGCGGAGCAGGCTGCACACCCTGCACACCTTCTGCTGTCATCTGAGCGTGCAGAGCAGCACCCAGCATTCAGGATTCCTGTAATTCAGTGTGACAGGTATGCTGTGTTTCAGTGGTAATGCCACCTCAGAAGCACCATCGTAACTCTTCCTCCAAATACTGTGCTCTTTTCCTCTTTCTTTTATTTTTCATGTACAAAATAAAACTAAACAATCTGTAACATA